CCAAACATATGCTAAGAAAAATGCTGCTGCTTCATGTAATTCTTCTCTAGTGCTAAGAAAACCTGCACTTCAAGGCATGGGAGCTACTGCTAGGCTGAGACACATCATTTTAAAAGCAGAACTTGATCAATTGTTTAGGTAAGCATATACTGACCTGGGAGGCTGAAAAATCCCCTTGTAAGTGTGGTATGAAGTTTTTACCACAGAAAAACTTTCTGTTTCTAGTGTAGTTAAAAAGTTTAATCCAACTGGCTGCTGGATTAAAGTGATTCCAGTTTTGTGCCTTTTCAGTTTTGAATTCTGAATGTTTTAGTTTAAATTTATTGTTTGACAGGTCTTGCTGATGACTCTCCTTTCTGACTTTACATTTAGAGTGATTTACCGGACTAAATAGATGTGTGCTGTCTGGCTTGTTAAGAAATCCCATAGCCTACATTTAGTGTAGGATCTAGTCTAGGGGCATAAGAAGGCTGGAGATGGAGTGCTCTGATGCTGGGATTTGGCAGAAATGGGCACAGTCATGCTGTTTCGCGAGGAGGAAAGGCTTGTGCACAGGAATATGCTGTGTAGCAAGTATTTTAGAAGCAAACTGGGTCTCCTGTTTCTTAGCCCTGTACAGCTGGAATGTGGTTTCTCCCCCCCCCCCCCCCGCCCTGCAACATGCCAATGGAAATGTCTTCTTTTCTTTAAGTGAAACAAGAAATGTATCTCAGCATAGCGCTTAGTTGACTTTTATAAGTTTGGAAAACACTGTAAGTCCAGATCTGACATTGAGTAGGGAGCAACCAGACCTGGGTTCTTGTGCTTGCCTTGAAAAGCAGAATTTTAGTTGGGTTTTGCATGTGACTTTCTTGATGTTTTTTGTTTGTGTTTTCCCCCCAAAACCTCCCTGAATGAGTTTGTTTGGGATCTACCTGAATTCATTCAAGAACAAGCTGCCTCCTACACAGATTGCAGAGCACTCTGATAGGCACCAAGAGATAGAGTTCAGCATATTACCTCATTTCTGCTGGTTTGTTTTTAAAGACATACTGCCCTTTCAGCTTGGATCTGAACATGTTCAGGACAGGTTTTTACAGAAGCTGAGCCCAGTGGAAATGTTATCCTTTTTAGTCACTTTTCTTGGAGACGGTTAAAGCAAATAAACATGCAAGGGCTCATCCTGCTCTATCGACAAGTCCACGTGAGCTGCCTTGAAGGACAGAAGTGGAAGGAACAAGTACCCTCTCCTGGTGTCTACCAGCACCTCTCCCTTACTGCAACTTGGGCTTCTTCCAGGTATCAGATACATCATAGATTCATTTATTCCCAACTGTTATTTCTTTTGACTTTTCTGGTGTGCTGGAAACAGTCTCTGCCTCGGAAATCATTACAGCTGTATAACTTGCAAACTATGAGTAATGGTTTCCTCCAGTTTAACTCCCCCCCCTCTTAACGTGTTTTCACTGTGCCCGTCTTTCTCCCTGTCTGCCCAGTTCTGTCTGGAGGTGAGGTACTGGATCTCAATGCAGCAGCTTCCCTGGTGCCTTGGAGAGGAACTGCAGGTAAACGTCAGTCTCCCTGAACAGGACACTTCTCAAGGATAAGCCTGGGAAATAAATTCAAAACTCCAGTAAATACCAAAATGCAGAAGGGAATACTGGCTTAAAGGCTACATGATAAATTTCCCTTCTCCTTAATAGCATCTCTGTCATCTGGAAAGAGGTTACCAGCCATCTTTTTTAGTCCTAGGAAGAAATTACCGTATCAACTCCACTTCCCCTTTCTCAGCCCTTTACCTCACAAAACTACAGCTAACTTTTCTCTCCAAGGTGACTGAATTGATACAGGTCTGAGCAATTGTTTTCAGTTTGTGTACAGCTCTCCAGTCTCCTGCTTGTATTTCAGGCCTTTGTGTTCCCAGAAGTTTGTCTTTTTTTCCAGTTATAGCTCTTGGTCTTTCAAAAGATATTGCCATGGTCTACAAACTATGTCTTGCCAGTGTCCTTAGATCATGCAGGCTGCAACACTGCCACCTTCTTCCTTGTAGGCCAGCCAGTGCTATTTCAGTAGGGTTTAGGAACAAACTAGCATCATAGATGCATAGATCCCATGGCAATTTAATCTCAGAGGGATTGGTGTGTATGACTTGAATTCCTGCAGTGCTGGAGTATGAGCTTTTGAACACTCTTTATGTGGCTGTCCTGTTAATGATTTGCTGTCTTGTCTATGGTTTGCTAATTTTACTTCTCTCTTATTCAGGAGCGCATAGCTAGTGTTTTTGCCTTTGAAAATGGGTAAAGGTCAAGAGAAAAATCACTTCCTAAAGCAGCACTTTTTTTTAATATATATATTAAGAATTTTAAGTTTATTTAAAGATTCTGCATTTTTGAGTCTGTGTGAAACTCAAACTGTTGTGACTCAATCTCTGCTTGAAGATCCACGAGGGAGAAGGTAGAAGCAGCTGAATACTGGCTTTAAGTGTGTTTACAAAAGGATGGAAGAGTTTCTCTGCAGTGGGATACGTAGTGTGTATGTGTATATTTATGCATACAGACATAATACCCACACTGTGTGTAGGGAGTATATATGCAAATGTGTGTATATGTGTATACACACACACTCACACATCTCCCTGTTTAGTCTCTGAATAGATGGAAGAGTCGCTTGGTTCTCATATTTTCCTCAATTATAATTGTGGGTGCTGTGTCCAGGAACCTCAGGCTTGTTTCTATGGCACCTATGCCCAGCCTTTTAACATCCAGCCTTCCCTCAATCCCCGTGTGGCAATAAGAGGAAAAGAAGAGTGTTGTGACACCCACACTGAGCATCTCATGGAGGGGCTAAGAGCATGGGTAAGAAATGGCTGCAGATAGTGGACTCATATGGGAGGGACTCGGGTACAGTAGGCTGCGGTACATCCTCCCGTGGCACTGGTCTCTTGGCTTTGTGTTGAGGGCTTTGTGGGGCAGCCCAGATGATCTTTCTTTTCTCTTGCTCCCTCTCTTTTTTTTTTTTTTTTTTTTTGGCCTCCTTGCCCTGCCCTGAAGCGGGATTGCAATATCAGAATGGCATCATGAGCAGGAATGCTAGGGAACCTTGCAGCACTAGTCAGGCTGACTAATATCCCTTTAAATAATCTTCCTTCAAATAGTCTGGAAGCATTCTAGTGAGCTTCTGTTTCAGAAGCCATGAGAACACAGCCCTGACTGTGGTCTATATAAATAGCCAGATCCATGCTGGTAAGTAGTGAAAAGCACAGTTATTTGTTCTAGGAAGGTCTTCCTATTTTTTTTTATGTTGTTGCATGTATAGGTGTGATCAAATTCTGGTAACATTTCTGTATAGTAATGGTGCTTCTGCCTTTTCTCAGACTGTCATATCCTCAGTGACAGTGAGGAGCAAGAAGCTACCCTTTGGAGATAGACTTCTATCTCCAGTGGCTTTGCATCTGAGTGGCAATGGTGCTGTGGCTTGCTGGGGTCTGTACAGCTGGCTTTAGCTAAAACAGTGTAGTTCAGACCCTTTTGATCGGTGCTGTGAGTTCAAAAATCTCACTGATGTTTATAGCATCTGGAAGGTGAAAGCAAGGAATATTTGAATATTTGCTATGGATCTGGATAGAGCATAATGTGATGGTCCTGTCTGAGGAGGATGAACTTAGCTTACCTGTGCTGTCCTAACTGTAATCAGCACTGTAAAAAATTAAAAAAAAAAAGTTAACCAAGTCTATGTTAGTTATGCTGGCTATATAATCTTTTCTCTTGTAATACGGAAGAGTAGAAACTATTCTCCAGGTAGATACATGCACTCTGCAGCTGCATAAGTAATCTTCAGTTTGCCTCCATCTGGTCCTGAATTATCAAGACAGCCTTCAAAAACATACGGATGTGATACATGGCCAATAGCCACTATAGCGCTTTCCAAGATTTAGGTAAATAGGAGAATCCTCAACGAAGAGCGCAGCAAGTCTTGCCTCAGCCAAGGTAGGAGGCATTTGAATTTCTTACTCATAGTGTATTGTTATCTTCTCCCTGCCATCCTACCCACTCAATGCGTCAGAGGTCTAAGGCTTGATTTTTAAAAATTTTTTTTAAATCCTCTCTGTGCCCTCCCCCC